CCATAATTATTGGACGTGTCTTTGCGGTATTTAAAGATGCGTTCTCCGTCCTGCTGTTGTCGAGTTTCCATCGACATTTTTTTCTTCAGTTGCTACTTTTTCAGCGATGTTTAGTTGTTGAATCACAAGTTCTTTACAAAAGTTTGATTATTGGCTGCCAGACAATAATTTGGATCTCGCAGGGCGGATTGTGCACAAAACGAACCGCCAATTTAGAGGGTTGCAGACGCCCAAAATCGGAATCTTATTCTTTTCCCAGTTAAACAAAACATAAAAATTAAAATTACGTAAAAATAATTTGTGTTGTAAGTGCACATCAGGGTATACGTCTTTAACATAATTATATCTTTAATCAACAACCTCCAATGATTGCTTTCTTCCTGTAGTCGGGTGATATTACTCAAGCCCTCCACCCGCTCGTAGCTTATTGTTAATTCCTCCTGCCGAAGTGTCAAGAAATGAACTTGACGAAAGGTGCATGTGAGAGTTACCACTGCTGCTAATGTAAACAGTCTCCTGTATGAATACACAAGAACCAAGGAAAGGGGTACACCTCTCAATTGTACAAATTGTCCGAAAAAAAATTAGTTCCAGTCACGATATCTATATATCATGAGTGATTGTGTGTATTGTTAGTTTATCGTATTTGTTTATTTGTTGGGGATGATATGGAGTAGTTCCTTCGGCTAAAATGCAGCATTTAAAAATGTTCAGGTTTTCGAACATAGTCCTGACCGGACACTCGTTATTGCCATTGTCAATGCTTTATTTTTATTTATCAATTCATTTCATTTATCCTCGGAAAACACACTCAAATGAAAAAAATTAAACATTACAGCTTTAATTTCACTTGCAAAAATGATGTTGTCTTTATTCGGCGAGGAAAATATGTTAACTACTGCGCAATTTAAAGCATTGTAAATACTGAGTAAACGAACATTAAAAAGATTAATTCGAGTTTTAAGTACAAAAGCCTCATCTGTGTGTTTCCTTGATTTAAAGTACAGGGCATGGTTGGCCAGAAGCCACCCTGACGTCACGAATGACTCCTTTCTTGCTACACTTTCTTCAGTTTTAAAGAAAGTCTAGATTTGTTTAGATATTGTATATCAAATAAAATGACACATTAAGACTTACTAGAATTTCAATTAGAACACAATATATATAGACATGTATTATTTTACTTTGACAAGTTTAACAACTAACCATGCAGTTACAAAATGAACACATGTCAAATTTCCAACTCTCCCACTGGCTACGAGCCCGGTATTATCACAGCTTTATGGTATTATATGGACCTTAACAACTTAACCTAAAGTCAGAATAAAATGTCAAGGGCGGATCTAGCTTTCAGGAAAGGGGGGGGCGTAAAGGCGTGCTTGCTAGGGGGCCGGGAAATATTTTGAGATCGACGATGCTCTCTCTGGCATTTTATCCGAGAATAAAATTAGGATCTTTACCATTCCATATATTATTTTGGCCCACTTTTACTAGTTTCATAACATAAGTCAGCGGTGCGACCCCCCCCCCCCCCCGCCAGATCCGCTACTGAATGTGTTCGCATTGAGACTCAGGAAAATACAATTGTCAAGGCGATGCTGCGCCTACATTTAAATGAAGGATATCTAATTCATTTCCTGGATGTACGATATCTTAGAGTTAAAGAAAAATAAAATGCCGCTGCCCTTTTAATGTTATATTCTCAAGGAGATACATGGTTTTATGCATAGCATTACCTAAAGACGACTATTATCTACATGGCAAACAAAGTAATTTCAAAGAAATTCAAATTTTCGCCCATGTTCTCCTATTTACAAGTGAAACATACTATTCCAGCCATTGATTGGTATCAAGATAATAGCTCATTCGAGTTCCTAATTTGTCCAGGCAAAATCAGGTCTGACCTGACACAAAGTGCAACAGAATTTTTCCCCACAGTGCATAGGCCTTTCCATAATGTCCGTAGAATGACGTACTAAAAAAATTTAAAAATCCAAGTAGTGGAAATACGCCCAATTTGCATAAATCGTTAATACCTGTCGTGTAATATATTTGTCCCCATATTTGGGTATATTTTATTTTGTATTTTTAGAAAAGTTTATTTTGGTGATTTTACTTACACTTTAATTACTTACACTTACTTTAATTGGGAATTTTCTTGAACTTGTTCAAGTCTCCCACGTTTCGCAAACCTTCACCTACTTTTTAGCCCAATTTACGGACACCTCATTTTGTCCCCGTTTCTGTTTTCTGGGCTAAATATCACAATAATGTCATTATTAACATGACTTTCCGTAAAGTTCTAACAGCTAGGTAAACTGTGTCAGTGTGGAACTTTACGAAGTCGAAACTCATCAATGATGAGGTTTGGCAAGACTATTTGATGATATCTGGAGACAAGGTACGGTAAATGCGCTTAACTTTTAGGGTTATATAGTAGCCATTTTGAATCGTTACTATGTCCTCATAATTATTCAGTCACTTATATGCTTTAGGAAATGTCATTGAAGTGAGCATGTGAAAGTAGAATCACCCAAAAATAAAGCTATTCAAAAAAATGAAAAATGAAAATATACCCAAATGGGAATAAATACATTACACGACGTGTATTAACAATTTATGCAAAATTAGGCAAATTTCCACCACTTGCATTCTTTTTTACTTTTAGTTTGTCATTCTAGGGACCTCATAGAAATGCACCATGGTGAAAAAAAAATATGTTACAATTTGTTTGAGGTTCACTTAACAAATGCAGTATTTAGCCTGGACAAGATGTCCATTGTGTTTTTCGAAAAAACACAATTGGAGGTTTGTGTTTTTCGAAAACCTGGTTTTGCTTTAAAAAAAAAAAAATCCATTGAAAGTACACGAGAATATCTAATTTGTTTTCAAATTGATACGCTGTCTTCTTCGTACAATATACAATATACTGTAATGGATTGAATTAAAATGAGGGGCCTTACCATGTGTGTTTAATGAAGTCATCACACCGGCAGAAGTCCATTACCCAAATATTGGCCATCGGCCATGAATGAGCAATGAATCTTATATGATTATATAGGTTTTCCCGGTTATTTTAACACTTGTATCACACGAATTCCTTACATCCATACTTTAATTTCATCCCCGAACGTCGCCAAGCTCAATTCTCCATTTGAATTTCAGAAAGCCACCACTAGATTTCATCTAAGGTTCAGTATAATTCAAATTTTTAGCATATCAATTCGTCCTAAATTTGTGAAATTCGTCTCGTGTAGCAATCGGCGTTGGATTGAAAAAGCAAATTCGTTTTTTGTCATTCGCTTTAATGTTTTTGTCATTACATTTCGACTCTGGTGACTTAAAACGTCACGATTAAAAATGTGCCCAATCTTTAGACTTATTTAAAGAATTGTGCGCATTAATTAAATTCTAATTTTCAACAAATATTTCCTTATAAATGAAAGAAGCTAGCTGTAAATTTTGATTTTTTTTTTCTATCAAAATTAACATTAGAATCAGGAATAGAACTTTCACAATATGCTCTTTGATTAGTATATGGAAATTAAGCATTAAGATCAAACACTTGCGTAATGTTGCTCTTTGATATATGTATATGAATAAAACAACAGAAATAAGGTATATGTCTATCAAAGAGCAACATTAAGAAGGTGTTTGACCTTAATGCTTAGTGTCCATGTCATAAGTAAAGTGCATATTGTGAAATGTCTATTCTTGACTCCGAAGTTAATTGTGAAACACAGAAATAAAAATTCAAACCTAGCAGCTAACTACTGATATTTGTACATGTACATATAAGGAAATATATGTTAAATTATCATTGTTTTAATTCGCACAATTCTTCAAAATTAATAAGTCTAAAGATTGGGCGCATTTTCTAATCGTATACGTTTTAAGTCGCCAGAAACGAAATGTAATGACAACAACATTAAAACGAATGACAAAAAACGAATTTGCTTTTTCAATTCAACGCCGAGTGCTACACGAGACGAATTTCATATTTTTAGGACGAATCGGTGTGCTAAAAATTTGAATTATACTGAACTTTAAATGAAATCTAGTGGTGGCCTTCTGAAATTCAAATCGAGAATTGAGCTTGGCCATGTTTGGGGACGAATTTAAAGTATCGATTTGAGGAATATGTGTGATACAAGTGCTAAAATAACCGGGAAAACCTATAATATCTAAGGGTAAGATTACAAACAAGGATAATAACTTTTTAAATGCAGCGAACATGAACAGTGTTGTAAGAAAATGCTACAGAAAGCCTCATGAAAACATGGTAACACAGGCGCGGATCTCGGGGGGGGGGGGGGGGGGGGTGTGTGTCTCAATTGTTCGTTTTGCATGGAAATACATGAAAGAAAATGTGACATCCCCTCCCCCTCCCCCTCCCCCCCCTCCCCCAGCCCCCCCACCCCCACCCCCGCTCTGACATCTAAACAAATCGTGATAATTATACTGTTAATAACGTCCGCTTGTAGACAGAATGTTGTCAGAGCCAAACAGTGTGACGGGGTATTTCTACACTATTCTGTAATATATTGTTTATAGTCGTCGGATTTGAAAAATTATTATACACAGCTTATCCAGAATTTGGTCACTGTGGGGCATCCCCAGACCAATTTGAATGCGGTCCGGGGATGCGAAAACGAATTTGCCGACAGAAGGTAATTTGCTGGAAGGTAGTCAGGAATCAAAAAGTGGAGAAGGAGGGTGGATTCCAACTTAGGAACCGCTTTGTGCATAAGTACATCACTGGTTGGAAAGATTTTCAATCGGGCGTCATCTTGCTTCGCGACTATAACTGTACCGCCATCCACACACTGTGCATGGAATGTATGTACGTGTTCATCTTTTCAAACCGTAGACGAAAAATACCAGAGAACAAAAGAGAACAACGATTCCCAGCATACGTCTGCGATTGGGGTCGTGTACAAAACCTATGGGAGTCTTCCTAAAAAGTTTAAGTTCAAACAAAAGAGGGACAATAGGACGTCCACGATAGACGGTGAACACACGTTCGTGTGCGTGTGTGGTCCCACCATCCCATCAAAGAAGGCTAGGCAAATTTCGCCGGTCACGCACGGAGCCCCTCATCGGCGGCGCTGTTCAGGGTGCAGACCGGTAAATATATACTGCATTACGCGCATTTCCCAAAATTATTACAAATACTCACAACTCTCTGAGTTGTTCAAGACATGCATCAAACTAAAGCTTTTTTCATCATCTTTTATCTTTTGTTCAATTTTTGAGGTAATCTTATGACATTTGCGAGAAATTTTAATCCGAAAATGATCACCACTAAAAATAGCCCTGAAGCCCATCGTCATTTTGAAAAACGATGCCTACGCTCCATTGCAAAATAGAGCGCCTTTTTCATTCAAATGTCACCGAGTTACAAGATCACAGTCCTGTGCACGGCTTCCATCCTTCTATTTTACAAACCCTGACGTTCATGGCCCACAAAATGCTCTTATACCGAAGATACGCTGCTGATTAAATATGAAAACAACGACCTGAACCCGACCAAACAAATCAACCTGAAAATGGCGCCTGTATTAAATGACAATAGGATGGAAGGACCCTTCTGCGCCTTTTTTTAGTTTTAGTATTGGTCCGGGTCCACGAGATCAATTTGATCGCCGGTGTATGTTGTTTTTTTCTTTTTGACATAAAAGCAGTATAAAGCAGACGCCAGCAGAAGTACAACAAACATGATGATGAACGCGACTCCCACGGACCTCCACACGTTGGAAGGCGAATCACTGGGTGTTTTGGGTGGTTGACATATTTTCGCTACAAAACAGGAATTAAAAAGAAAATAACCAGAAATTAGAAATATATATACACAAGTTTATCCCTGACGAGTATTGGTTTGATATTAAAAAGAGTTTTTAAATAATTTGTTTTCAAATAAAGGCAGTCGAAAACAAATATAACCGATTTTAAAATCGATGAGTCAGTACATCAGAGACATCAGACGCAAACTCAATCAACAAGCTGTTGAAATAACACACACAAAACAGTTGCTTTATATGAAAGACACATTGAACTTGAAACTAAGAACACCATTGTGATTTTTTAAGGTGTAGTCTAGGTGGATTGAAGGAAAAGGAAACACAGAAAGTAAAAGGCAACGAGATCGTCACATCATGAACATGATAAAGCATTTCCCCATTGAAAAAAATATGTGCACGATTTATTTTCCTTGAAATCAGTTTAGTTTGTTTTTGACATGCCTTTACTCGAATAATTTAAAAACCCTTTTGAAAATCAAACCCACACCTACCAGGAATAAAGTTAAGATTCCAAACTTTGAAATGCTATTAAAATAATGGCGGTACGTGTTTCCGTACCGCGGCGACGCTAGAGCCGCGCAAAAAAAATGGGTATTTGGGACGCGCTGTATATAAACGATTTTGTGTAACATGAAACTGTATAACTCAGCTGGCTGTAAGTCGTTTGTTAATATAGATTTACAGATCATTCAGGACACCGCCTTCCAAAAGGAGAATGGTGTAGCATTTTTATGGTCTTTTCATAAATCTGAACTTCATCGAAATTTTTTTGGGCCACATTGCAGATGACGTTTGTCCAATACCATTCCATGCATTTCCACATTGAAACTTCCATATCTTGACTGCTGTCTATACTTACGGTGTTCCTTGTCATAAAATGGCTGTATGTTGAGGTCGGAAAACACGGCATGTAATTGCTGTTTGTCTGTTGACTGGATTAACACGGTGTCACGTTCACAGGGGCATCCCAGGGGCGCAGTGAGTCCAGCCAATGGACCATCCATCGAGATATAAGTGGAACTTTGTTGACCTGGAAGGCAATATAAACGAAATGCATGTCAAATAAACAAACGTAACTGTATTCTTAAAAGTGATGGTATTGAACGCAATTGCAGTAAAAAATAAGATGCAGTTTTTAATCAATTAAAGAAAACAGTGTTTTGCCTTGCCTGTGAACAGGATAACTCAAAAAGGTTATGGATGGATTTCATGATTTTACAAATCGATTAGATTTTGAAAGTGATCTTGATCTGCGTCTTGATGCAGGATTTTTCTAATGAGTTTCACCAATCATATGGAAAACTGACACCCTAGTGTGTGGACCAGCTTCGTGTGCTTGGCACTAACCCGGTGTCACGGTCTCACTTTTCCGGCGTGCTAGCTTCTCCAAAATGGAAATTTCGCTTCAACAAGCATGCACAAAATTGCGCAGTGCAGTAGTGTACATTTTCGTCACTGTATTAGTGTGCTGAGTTCTTCGGGGCTGTACTTGTACTTGTGTACGTAAGATCTTAAGATATTTGTATGCATGGTTACAGGGTACCAGTCCAATCCAGAATTTTCGTGGCGCGCACTATTAACTCCCAATAAGACTTGAAATGTGCATTTATTTTAAGCCGTGTTGCAAAAATAAGGACAAAATGGACCACGAACGAGCAAGGAAAAAGGAACACGGACCAAGGAGTTCGTTCTTAATTATTCCTCCATGAACACACACATGCATGACGCTGGGAACACAAATGAGAATTCTTGCAAGACCATGGAATGACTTGACCCACAGGAAGTGTTCCATAACACATTCAGAATACAGCCCGAGGAAAAGTAAGCACAGCGGACACATGAGCATGAATCGTGCTTATGTAATCCACCCGGAGAAGCTAGCACGCCGGAGAAGTGAGACCGTGACACCGGTAAGCTGTAATTTAACAACACAGGTCAGTGGACTAGACCATTTTATACAATGGGGGAGTGGCAACACAGGCACATACGTGTAAACTACCAAATGTTTGAGTTTAAGGATTTGTTTTAGAGAAAGCACATTTGCGCATTCATTTGGTGCTGTGTGTAATGGCGGGAATTGTTTAGCCTTGGCGGAAGTGTGTGTTCTCTGCTGAGTGCTTCCGAGTTTGATATGCTTCATTTGGTACCTTTGAACGTACATGGTGCAACATATAAAATAAAAAAACACAACGTCCACTAAATCAAGTGACAAAAAAATGACAAAAGCGAACCTCGTTTCTTTGTGTTAAAGAAGACGTCTTCATAACTGAATTTAACATTCAGGGATGTCAACTGGTAACTGGAAGTATTGGCCGTGAAGACGAATTTGAGAGTCCAGGTTTCATTGCCACCATCAGGAATGAAGTCCAAGATAAACTCTCTCTCCTTCATTGAACAGGTGCCATTGGCATTTGACGAGGAAGGGACAGACACTGTTACACTATCGGGCTGTACAGACAATTCATATAATACAATAATGTGAAATCAATAAGGTGAACTTGTTTGTCATAGTGTCATTTTCAATCTTAAAATGTCTTTGATGGTTCAATGTCTTTGATGATTCCCAATGTTTCAAACCACGCAAGCGAAACCATCAAAGACATTTTAAAACTCCGAAATCTGAACATTACTTTTTTAAAACACAAAGAAATAAATTTAAGAGTTCCAGACGAGTAAGTATATTCCCTACATGTAAATAAGTCATCAATACTTCTTACCAAATTAGACGTGTTGTAATAAGGAACAGTGACGTTAGCACAAAATTGCATGGATTGACACATGAGGCCATTTTTTCCAGTCACATTCCAATTGTTGTCCCGTGAAGGAGGAGGGGTTGTTGCAGGAGCAGTAGTTGGCATGGTTGTAGCAATTGGGGAGGTAATATCAGGTGCAGCAGAAGTAATAGCAGTGGATGTCAGCGTCGCATTTGTTGGGAGCATCGAATTGCCGGTAGTTGCCTTGATCGCTTTGGTAGTATCAACTGGCACTGTTGTAACAAGTGAAGGCGGCACTGTTGTCATGGCATTATCTGTTACTTGCGTGCCGGTTGTTGTCGGGGTAGTGGTTGCAACATCAGCGGCAGCCAAGCAGAATCCTGTCATAATATGGAAATCATTATTTGTTATTCTAACAAAACGAACATACCCTCTTCACATAAAGTGATACAAGTGCAGCAAAAGTGATTTGGGGATGGCATAAAACGGTGTTTCAAAACTTACCCGAATTTTATTCCAACTCTGAAAATGCAAACAGTGTTTTGTGTGTGTGCGTATTAAGCGTTTGTTTATGGTGTAAATCGAGGACACACACATGCAACATCATCAGTGAATCGAGGACAGGAACTAAATCGAGGACGACCTCGATTAGAAAACGTGTGAAGGTTGTTGCAAAAAGTTAGTACAAACAAAGGGAAAGGGAAGAGGAACAAAAGAAAATCCTCGATTTACACCATAAACTGTGCGTGCGTGTTGGTGTGTTTGGGTGGGTGCGTGTAGAAACACTGCCTTATGGGGTACCGGAACAATGGGAGGTATCCCACAAGGAATGCCCACCGACTTGCGGGGTACCGTTTTGGTACCCCGCAAGTTTTTTTCACAAATAGATATATGGATTTTACTCAAAAACTAGGAATTTCCAAGGTGGGTTGATTTGTCGCAAATGGAAGAGTTTTAGAAAAGGGATATTAGGTCCGAATTTCAGCCCAGGAAATTAACTATGGTTAAAATAAGAGCATTTTGACATAAGTGTGCGACGTTGCAAAATTTTAGTACACGAGAACAAAGGAAGTACCCCACTTCTATGCCTATGTAAGCGTGTGTGTGTCTGGGGTGTGTGTGTGGGGGGGGGGGGGTAGTTCCCGATCCGTTGAAAAAAATGTTCCATTATGTTACACTGTGTAATTTTAAGGTTTGTCGGCTATGTTCCTTTTTGTTTCCCTTTCTAATGCAACCAGTCTAATATTCAAATTCGTCGGGCAAAATCGATTTAGTGCACATCCGATGTCTAATTTCGTCCTTTTTCATTCAACTTCAATTTTAGTTCAAGCAAATTAAAACCATGAGCACATTATTCGTCAAGGAGTATTCGATTTCGTCACGTATACGACGAACGTTATTATTCAGAAAACAATTTCGTCTTATGCCACACAATTGAATCCTATATCCTGATTCACTTTGTTATTTCCTTGTTTCTTTACAATGTATTGTTTGTTTCTTTTGATGTATCTTCTTTCATATAAACATACAATTTAAGGCACACACAAAATAATGTTTTAAATGGATGTAAAACGCATCTGATCTCTGAATGCTGTCATTGGGAAATGGGCTCCGTGCGCCAAAGAAAGAAGGAGCCATTTTACCTAGCAACGATGTCCTAAGGGCGGGACATTTCGCTGGTTGGCACGCACCGTACCTTGTGAGTGACGCACGTACACCAGAGGATTTGTACTATGTACACGCAGTGGTACTGCCGCGCGTCGCGGCAAAATTGCAGTCAGGCAAGATGGCGTCGCGACCCCAACTATAGTTTCTTTGCCGGTGAGAGGGTACTTGTGAACGGAGCGGATAGTTGAGACAGTTGAAATTGTATTGAGACTAATTCTTGGCCAAGTACTTGAAAAAGTTGACTAAACTTTAAAATTTAATGATAAATTACTAAATTGATTTTATTGAAAGCATGTGAAATTATTTTCGGACGAATTTGAATATTATGATTGGTGATTTGGAATGAAACTTTTTAAAATAGCCGGAAAAACCTATATTAAAAAATGGGAGCCGGCAAATTGTCCATGTTGTATCGGAATGTAGATTATAGACATCTGAAGCAAAGTTACCGAATGCGGTACTTTCATGAGGATGTAATTCATTCCTTTTACAATACTTGGGGGCGTTGCTGCTGTCTTCTTTTCACCGCCACACAGATTGAGATTACCCCACGTCCTCTTTCTGCCATCACGTGGGATGGTTGTGCCAAACCAAATCAATGACTTACTGTGATCCCTACCGCCGTTTGTATCGGATAGGAGATAGCCATCAGAACATTTGAACACATGTGATTCTTAGGCTGAAGGCCCAAGTTGGTTTGCATTATCTCAATCCTCTTGTCGTTGTTGCTGATAAGTACGCAGCAGACACATTCATTCTGCTCGCGCATGGCGGGCTTTACCCGCAGTCAGTAATCTTTACAGACTGGATAAAAACTTTCACTTCAACCTATGCTTCAACTTTGTAAAGTTTACAATTGGAAAGTAAAACCTCGAACCGGTTTACATAACTCGTGTAACTGTATGTCATTACATTTTTACAATGTTCTTTTCAAGCTACACAAAAACGTAAAGCTACACTGTAGATTCTTTTGGGAACATTTAGCTATATTGTCCGGTTTTTTCACAAATCTTTCTTTACCTAATATATTTCTTTACTATTCATTTTGTGTGAATTATGACAAATGGTGGCTGTTACTCGGCTGCAAATAAGGATCATGTTATTTTTTCTTGACTCAGACCTTGGATAAATGTTATCATGTACACCCAGCGAAATATCAAGACATGTGTTTCTTAAACATGCCAAACATATATGCACAACCAAAGGGCAAAAAAATGGGAGTAATTTACCGAAAACAGTCAGTAATACCAGAGGCACAGCTTCACCGGGCTTCATGATAGTTACCAGCAGATGGAATAACGGTGGTTAGTCTATATAGGATGATCTTTTCTTCTTCTGGAGACGGACACATAAGTTCACGAAGAACGTAATATGAAGAATCGTACTGTTGGATTCACGAGTGGCAATGCTGAATGCAAATAGCTTACTGCTCTCCTCACACAGTAAAGTAAACTAAACCTTGAAAATGGAAGTACACTCTTTTTAATACAGCATTATCGCGTCGTTTTTGAACTCAATAAAACGTTTGCTCCATTGTGATGTTAATCAGCCAGAGTATTTCATTGTACCAGTCACTGCACCATTTCAATGGCTCACCTATGACCTTTTAAAGGTGTCGTCCAACTATCGTGAATTGTGCTTGAATAGAGCACCAAATAAATCTGTTGTACTTTTCGAAACCTACAGTGTTGAACAAAAACTCTCGATGCGATTCTTAAAAAAAAAGGAATATTAGGCCCCAAAAAAAGTCTCCGGTTTCTGGTATGCGCGCGCGTCGCCGTAGCCATGCGCGTCGGCAAAATGAAAAAGGGTTTTTTTTCAATAAAAGATGATGTCTCAAAACCGCCAAACTCACTGGTTTGACTGGAATCCTGCTGCTACAAAATTTTAACGTGTTTTTAGATGGGGTTATGATCAAGAATAAGCTTTATGTGGCCTCTCTGGACTCCCATATATTTGCACTAAGTTTAGTCGGGCACCATTTGCAGTCATCAGCCGAAATTTGAAGCAAAAAAAAAACAGGTAAAAAAACAAACCGCGTCGCCGCACCACGTTTGGGCAAGCTCCATACCACAAACCGGAGACGGTTTTTTTTTTGGCCTTATTAGCTGAAACGTTATTTTGTTTTCGAACAAAATAATGTTTTTACATGATTTCAAACAATATCAGAAGAAAACCATTTAATATTATTAATTAACAGCCAAACATAGAAATAACCTTCAAGTTTAAAAGTATTAATTTCAGCATATCACAAGCCAACATAAAAACTGAATACTTTGTCTCACATATTTCCAACTCACAATTTCATGTTTTTATATGATATTCAAGACAAATGAAAAAGATACAGGATTCCAAGGATAAAAAAACGAAAAGTAACGGACTGTCTACTTATATAGCCTTATAACGGCCTCAAGGAAGCAATGGTATTGTGGCAAGTTTTCAGCGTGCAAGGGCACCACTTCTATAGTATCAAAAATGTGAAAGCTCTCCATTTCACAAATTTCAGGTGAAGTGAAAAGTCGGAAAGCTGTATGTGGTTGAATAATTCAGTTGCATATGCATGCATGGTACCGGCACAGTCAAAGCCGTACAATGAGGATATGAATACCAGGAAAAGTCTACAGAGTATTCAGAAACAGCTTAACATGCCGACGGTGACACGTCAGATCAAAACCTACAAAAATTGGCTTTTGTAAAAAAGAATTTTGCAGTATCCGGTGCCTTGTTTGATGTGAAACGTGTTTTGTGCTTCACATTCCTTGAATACCGAAACTTCGCAAAAACGTCAAGAGCACCAGTCGCGAACTGAACTACTGCACTTAATTTAGCATCACAGATTTAGCATCACAGATTTAGCATCACAGATTTAGCATCACAATTTAGTGCCACAGAACTGCTGAAGCAAAATTGATGGCCGCTATTGAGCCCTTTTTATTCTGAGCAAAAGTCTTAAGAATTAGCCTATATTTTTTTTTCGTTTTTATATGGACGTTTTGTGGCGTTTACTGCAAGATACCCTGTGAATGTGGGAACGTTTCCATCGGGGGGGGGGGGGGGGCAACACGAAAAGTATGTCCCAATAAAATACGGCGTGGGGTTCGGGGTGCAACCCTGCAATAAAATTCCCACAGACACTAGTGCTAAATGCCCATACTTCAAAATTCTTTTAAAATACTCAAAACTCTGACAAGTATTCAAGCTGCACAAAATAATGATGATCAACATGTCATCTTTCATTTTCTTTTCATTTCTTGGTGGGTTGACATTTACTTTTCGAGATATTCTCACCCGAAGAAGACGACCCCTATCTTCCCAAAAGTGGAAAAGTAGCCATCTTGAAAAAAATGATCCCTCTACAACATGGCCCTTTCGTGCCCAATAGCATCCAAAATTCTCAGAATTGGAAGTCCCAAGTCCGGGCCAGATGCAGAGATTGATTACCATATCTCTTCAATTCCCCAAATTTATGGCTCTCAGATATCTCTAAAATAGAATATTTTGAGGTTATAACTTTTATTCATTGGCTTGGCGGACGGACTTTAAGCCTATTTACAGGCGTGCACCCTTTAATAGCAGGCAACTTTCACATTTTAACACAAAACCACATTCAGGAATAGCAGAATATCTCCAAGGTCATTATTTTGAAAGCAAATTAAAGAAAAAAATTATCCGAGGTCGATATTAGGCCCACAAATCATGCCTTTTTTGCGCCGGCTATCTGTAGAGCGCCCGAACAAAAATATATTGAGTTTCAGCTACTTTGAAGCTCAAAATCCCCCCCCCCCTTTTCAACTCGCAATTTCTGTAATCGGCTGATAGCCTACTGCTCCCTTACGATTTGGGAGCATCCGTTGCCGGAC